ATTTAAAAAACAAAAACCTTGAAAAAAAAAAAAAAAAAAAAAAAAAAAAAAAAGGAACACAAAGCAGGTTTAAGATACATCTGAAAGACTGCACATTCCAGTCCAATAAAATGGAATCCAATGTACAGTAGCGTTACAATGAACATTGTAGCAGCAAAGAGAGAGGTTACTGCATCACAACACTGAAGGAAGAGATTTAAATGTTGGTAGTATCAATAGCTGCTTTTGAGTATAAAGAAAAAAAGGTAACATTCATGCACAATGCAGAAAAAATATGAAGCACATTGAGAACATTTGGGAGGTGATGGAGGTCACTTAGCCCTATATATTTACTCCGAATAAAATATTTTGCAAAACTGAGAACAAGGCTTCCCACAATGAAAAACACATTGCATTCAAACAAATATCCTCCCACTTTTCCATTTGCCGAGGAAATGCTGAATACTAGCCTTCTACTCAGGAAAGCCAAACCCTTCCACAGCGACAGAAAGGACAGCAAGCTCCATCACAGCTTTCCTCAGAGAAACAGTTTACTATTTTTTCAGCTGCATAATCCGCACACCAAGTCAGCTCATCTATTGAAGTTTTTACCAGCAGACCCACTCACTGCAGTCAAAATGAGGTGGTTAGAGAGGGGAAGGCGATATTGCAAAGCACTACATATGTGAGGGTTCCCACGCACAGATATACACCTTCTCACACTATCTAGCTCAAGGTTCAACTGATCCACAGAACAGAAAAACATTTCTACTCTTAAAAATTAGCAAACAGCAAAACAGCTGAACAAAAAACCCAAATAAACCTCATTAACATTTTAAATAACCGAATTTAAAAATTTGCTTACCCAAAATACCCAGGAGGCTACAACAATCCAGCTATTGTAGAATACTCCTAATTTCTTTGACATATAAATAAAATGCTCTTCTTTTTCTGCTCTTAATCTTCGAGCACAGCCTCAGACCAGCCTTCCTCCTTTCATTAGCTGGACATGTGTCAGCTCTCTCACATCTGCGATTTCTCACTGACTAGAGCTGCCTGTCCGATTCCAGGGAAACACAGATGGAACCCAGATGGGAAGGTCCAGCCAAACAGACCAGCTCTTTACCGCGCCAGAATACCCAGATATACACATATCCTCCCTCCCTCCCTCCCTCCTCGCTGTCTCTTTCTCTCTCCCCCCCCACCCTGCTTGCTCTGTTACCAGGGCTCCTTGCCAGCTGATGTCACTAAGCACACACCTACCAGTGACTCGCAACCACTTTGACATTAACTTGTTAAATACACATATTTTGTTTGTGGCTGACAAGAACACTGATAATGCACTGTGGGACAATGATCCATGCTAGGTCCCAGTGAAGAGGGGCTTCAAAGGATGTTCAATTGGACTGCCCATTCCAAAATCCTTTATTATGCCTTCACACTTGTGCAGCTCTTGTTTGTACAGAACGTCTGTTGTAAATCACTCACACAGGCAGCCTGTAGTGCTGAAGAGAGCCTTAATTGTAGAACTCTTTTAAAAACTGGATTTGGATATGCTGTTTGGAAAACAAATTAATTTTCCAAAGGTTTCCTAGTGTATGTAAATCTTTCACGTAAACTGCCTTTTTTAAAGTAAATTGCAGAACTGGCATGTGTTAACAATTAGAAGCAATAAGAACATACTATTCTCATGGTGCAGGGAAATCAAATTAGGACTGGAAAACTCAGAGGAAGAGTTATTAAATACATAACATCCGAATCACAGTGGAGGGGAAGTGCTAAAGGAAAACGTGTCTTGTTGGTTAACACTACATGGAGAGCAAGCTCACAGAAGAAAGTGTTTCCCATGAATCTGTAAAGTATTTGGGGCTGGTCCACACTAGACAATTACATCGACCTAGCTACATCGCTCAGGGGTGTGAAAAATCCACACCGTAGGCTGACCTAGCGCTTGTTCAAAGGAAGACTTCTTCTGTTTACCTAGCTAGTGCCTCTCAGGGAGTGGAGTCAGTACAGTGACAGGGAACCCCTCCCATAACCGTAATAGGTGTCTACACTGCTCCACTGCAGTGCTTCAGCTGGGCCACTGTATGGTTAACAAGCACAGCCTTACACATGATCATTTTGCAACATGAGAGCACCTCTGTCAGGACTCCCCCTTGGTTGTAGCCACTCACAGCATACACCTTGGACAACAGAGCTCACCTGACAGCAACTCCAGTGCATCAGGGCTTTGCAGATGCTGGGAACTAGGGCAGCATGGCTTACACTCACAGCTGACACCGAGCACACCACGGTCCCCTGCTTGAGCTCAGCGCTGCTTTGGCTCCTTGAAAGAGCAGAGAGGTGACAGCACCATCACACTGCTCCTGGGGACTTCCTTGAGCTGTGCAGGCTCGGTCATGTTTCCTGGCCCTCGGAAAACCCTGTGGGCATCACTGAAAGCTAGGCAGCTCAACAATGCCCAGCACCTAATGAGAATGTAAATCTCAGCATTGCCACTGCAGACTTTAAAGCAATGGAAATCTCGACTAAGATACTGCGTTTCTGAAAATCTTTGCCATGAGTAGGACAGAGGTGGCAGATTGAGGGCGACACGTTCAGTTTCCCTGAGAACTGTACAGCATGATTCTAGCACAGTAAGGGCTAAGCATACAATCTGACTGCTCTGAACAGAGTACTACTATGCATGGCAATAAATACTTGCAGGAACAGGAAGTTATACAGAAATTCAATGGTCTCAGCCAATCAGAACCCAGGGCTGCAGATGCCCATTTGGGGTTGGAAATGGGCCTCCCAATTAACTTCCCAGGGCTTTGCTTGGTTATTGGTCCTCAAACTCACAGTCCTAGGCTCCCAACAGATGTGGTCACTTCCATGTCTCCCCTGCCTTTTCATCCCCCATTTTTCATCCCTTTTCATCATTCCGAGAGAGGTTAAGGTCCCCTCATTTCCCGTGGAAGGGAGGAACAGAAGGGGGGCTAGGCAGAGGAGGAGCTGATTAAGGTGTGGGAGAGGGAGCTAGTCCTTCCTAAGCAGCAAGGGGGGAGTAAAAGGCACACCTGAGGGAAAGAACTCCAGCTGCTCAAGCATGCCAGGCCCCTACCAACTCAGTAGTAACTAGGGATGTAATAGCATAACCATTTATATGGTTAGCCCATAAACTTGGGCCTACTGGTTACCGTTAATGGCTACACGCAGGCTCCCATGAAGCCGGCTGCTGCCTCTAATACAAGCGGGAGGCAGGGTTCAAATGAAAATGAATAAACCTGTCACTTCACTATAGCTTTCCTTTGCAGGGTGGCAGCCGGCTCCATGGGAGCAGGGTTGGCAGAGGGAGCAGGTACTTGCCAGGAGCTGGCTTAAAAGGTGGCTTCTGGAGTGCACCCACTCCTGGGGAGTCAGCTGCTGCCTCGCGCTGCAAGCTCTGTGGTACAGAGCTTATACTGCAGAGCCCGGCAGTGCAGCCAACTCCCCGGGAGTGGGACCTGCCGGCTCTGCTCCCAGGGAGCCAGCTACACAGCAGGCTCTGCCGTACAAACTTTATACTGCAGAGTCCGGAGCATGTAACTGCTGAGATTTCTCAGCAATTGCACCATTACCTAATTAACCACTTCTTAACATCGCTGATAACAACAGCACCCTGGGCTAACAATCTTCTGTCTTCAGCTTTGGAGTTCCAGCCCACAGAGCCTCAGTCAGGATTTAAGGACCCAGAAAATGCTCCAGAGGTATGCCAATAGGTGGTGCCTTTCAGGCAGCCTCTATCACAGCATGCCAACGAGGGGTCTGCTCACAAAGGAGAATTCCTCCTAACTAGCCTATGAAGTCATCCAATCACAAGGTTTCACACCTCCAACTGCTTGGGATTGGTTTTCTAGCTCTAACTAAAACATATTCAAACATCCTAAAAGCCACTTCTGTGTGCTTTACAGTCAGCCAACCAGCCAGCAGAGGGGGCACTAGATTAAGCCTGTTCTCAGATAGCTATGTCCCAAGAAATGACAGCCACCATGTCCGGTACACCAATACAAAAGGTGGCCACAACAAACTTAGGTTTATTCGTTTTCATTTGAACCCATCTCCTCAAGGAAGCTGAAATTTCAACATAACGGTCCCGTTACAATTGCTTCCCTTTGTCCTTGTGCACACTTTCATCTAGCTTGGGGAGGGCATCACTTGGAGAGCTGACACGTTTAGCCTTCCTGTCCACAAAGAAGTTGAACCAGAATGTACATTTGCAAACAGCCTCATCCAGATATGCATCTGTTCTGTAAATAGTTGTGCTTTGTAAAAGTGGTAAACACACCCAAAACCTGTGCAAAATACTGAGGCTCAATATTTCACAAAACAAGATAAAATGTGCATCTTAGTTATGCAGAGACTAAAAAGTTTAAAAATGGACCTTTATTCAAAACTTAACAATTATTTTCCTTATGTATTGGCCTGCAGTCCCAAACACCAACAGGGAAAAGCCAATTTGCAGCAGCTGCAGACAGCTGGTTAAGTCCAGATACTAAACAACATAATTAGATAAACTAGTCAAATATTAATGCTGCAGTTTCACAAAAGATTGTTCAGTACTGTTAAGTATTGTTTTAATACTGTTGCTGTGTAAAGGTATTTCTCCAAATTCAGAGCCTCTGGAAATCTCTCTCCATCCTCTTATCCAGATGGCACCTTACTCAGACCAGCTGTGTGGTGCAGATTCATCTTTCTTTTGTGACAAAAGTTTTTCCCTTTTCATCCAGAACTCAACTAGCCAAGAGGAGTTAAACTAATTTTTCCCTTTGTCAACTAGATTTCATCTGCAGCAGCCCTTAATTGGTTATGGAACATAAGCCAAAGAACCCACCTTGGTTTCCAGAACTCAAAGTGAGTTTGCAGGGCATGTCATTAAAAGAAACCAGCCAGACTGTTAGGGGGAACAGCTGAAGCAAGGGGAAGGGGACATGGGGGGGGGGGGGGGACGGGGGGAGAGGG